GACCAATCAGCAACTTTGATGGCAGCAAGCACCGGCTGGGCTAGAATTCAAATCGCATTTCTATGATTGCGAATGAATAATATTAGCTGTCGCTTGGACAGTGGTTCGATTGAGGCCTACCAATAAATTTTCATATTGGTTAAGCCCATTTGGGCTGCTTCAAATTATACCTATACTAAAAAGACTCATAGTATGATTCCTTGAGTCTAAATGCCATAAGAAAAGAAAATTGATTCCATTGTTTAGGAAGTTGAATTCGCAAAATTGAGGGCGGTGAGATTTCAATGCTGTACAATAGCAGAGCCCCTATCTAAGTAATCGCTCAAGCCCAGCTGCGGAAGATAAATTCCGAAGCGAGAAAATCGCCCTAGTAAGTACACGCCTCCCAGGAATCTCCGCCCATCAACTTGGGTGGTTTGGAGTTGATAAGTCCAAATTGCGCTCTAATGTATCTAGAGTTGTCATAAGTTCCTTTATTATGATCATCAGATTTTTGACGCTTCAGTATACCCTAGAGATCACTTTCGTATTCATCTACTTCGGACCACCCACTTTGATGGGCTGAGATTTCTGGGCCGCTTGTACCTTCGAGGGCAATTGTTTCGACTCGGAGTTCGTCTTTTGCAGAACTCTTGGGCGATTACTTAATTAGGGGCTATGCTGTTCATCAAAATCTCACTATATTTAATTTGGATAGGCGGTGCCTTTATACAGCCCACGATTAAATCATTTCTGCTCATAATTGCTTACTATAGAGTCGACCTCCTAGCGGAACATATTTAATTTTGCTCTACTCCTACGAATTTTGCCTGGGTCATTAGAAGTGCGTAAAGTTCCTGAGTATGTGTTAATAGATCTCCTCAATCTTAAGCGGTTTGCAAAAGATTTTATATAAATTTATGGAGACAATTCGCGCAAAGCTAAATTTTTTAAGGTATTTTTTTCGAGGAAAATGAGTATAACAGATGATGTCTAGCAGTTTCAGAACATACTATCACGTCTTTGTCACATCAACATTGATTGATGGAATTGCGAGATATCGATTTTGTTTGTTTTTGGAGCTGCCTTTTCTTCCCATGATTCTTTTCCATGGTTCATTATAGCGTCTAACAAAAAAAGCAAGGAACTTTGTTGTAAAAATGCAGTATTTGACAATAAACAATGGTTAGAGACATTTATCCTGCAACATCATCAAATTCTTGCAATTTCTAGTTTCAAGAGCATTTTCTGTTTATTATTTGGATGAGCATCCGATTATTAGAATTTTTTTGGTTGTTTAAGGATATTGAATCACATAAACACTTGCCCACAACCGCTCTTCGCTGTTTCCCTCAGTTAGATCAAGGTTTATTCACATCTAAACAAACATGCTCAGCAGGATTACTGTAGAAAAGAAACGCAATGGGTATGGTATACATATTGCCCGTTACAGGAAAAAGCATTCATTTCAAATATAGTATTTCACATTGTTTATTTACATATTGCTGCGACTTGGAGAACTGCTTTCCAAAAAGGCGCTATCCAATTTCGAATACAAAATTCGAAATCTAGGGCTTCTATGACAATTTAGTAAAAAGCTACTAGGTTGGAGCACAATTCTTGTACCAAAATTTTAAAAAATCTTTTAGTTTTCTGCAGCATCGGTGAAATCTGTAGATTTAGATAATAAAAAGAGTAAATCTTGCGCTTCAAAAAGTGTTTGAAGTAAAATTTTTTGAGGGCATGTGGGACCGATATAACGATCAAAGGCAGCGCCTAGGCAAATCTGGACGTTTGGGGATCTCACGTGGACAATAGTTTTGGGGCCCTAACTAAGACACTGCCCAACCGGCAGTTCAGTTGATGTCCTAACGGCTGAGATATTCGCCTCCAAACTGGAGCTCAGGAACGTACTTTGCATGGATTCATGGCGCGGCACATCCGTTTCGCGTGGGTCCCCGCGCGAAAGCATGCAAACACGATGCAAGTCGTCCGATAATACGTTTTGGGATCCACTTTGGAGGCGTATATCTCAGCCGTTAGTGAGTCATTTGCGCTGCCGCTTGGGCCGTGTCTTAGTGAGGGCCTCAAAATTACTTTCCACGTAAAAATCTCCAAAGGTCCAAAAACGAATTACTCGAAAAATGATTTTCGATTTTTGGTCAAGACTGCTAAACGTCTACTAAAATTCAAACTTATCTTTGGCTAGGAATAGGCTATGAATATTTTTTGAAACCAGCTGGTCCCTTTTCTTTGATATTGATTTTCTATAATATATAATAAAATATTACTTTTGATATACATAACAATGAACATTTTGTTGAGTTAATTATTTCGTTCTGAGCATTTCTAAAGCGATTTTCTTCTACTTATTGGTGCAAGAATTGTGCATCATTTCCCCCCCCCCCCCTCCTGCATGTACTGGCTGCTCAAACGACGGTTAGAAAAAACAATTTTGAATGTGTCCTTGCAGTTGGAAGAACAAGAGTCAGGCAACAACCTTGTTCTGCCCTTAAGAGGTCCCCAAAAAGGTCCACCTTCAGTTCCAGCATTTCTATGTTGCTTAAGACTTTGTGTGCTGGTCTTCGACTGCTGCGCCACTAAGCCCGAGCGCCTATCGGGCTTACCGAAGGGGCTTAGATGGCGTCCCCCCTTGTCTTGGGCATCTTTTACCCCCACTCTCCCCGGCCCAAAAGATGAGATTCCCTTCTTTCTCATCGACTGACTCGCTCTACGTGTGCTTAGTGCAAGATCCTTCCGCGAATAGAAACATTCGTCCCTTCGTGTTCTCGGGTTTCGCTTTCACGAAATTTTTCGGTTGTTCACTATGTGTGCGGATCTGCTTTCACCCATCATAACAATGTCGCAAATCGTTAAAGAGAATCCCTTGTGTAATGAATTTTAGAGCGACAGACATGCTCTCTCTCAAATAAACAAAATGGATGTAATGCGGTTTGCAGTTCTTTCAAACAAGCACTTAGTTCAGCAACGATACACGCTTCTGTTGAATGAAGTGTATTTCTTTGAATTTTGATTTTATTAATCACTAGCTAGCATTGTCAAAAAAATTTGTGCATACCTCAAAAAATTTTTTATGCCGTAGTTAAAAAGACACGAAGTTTATAGTACGTCAAAAAGTTTTGGAAAAAAAGTTTTAGATTACAAAATAAGTTTTTAGATTTCTCAGATTGTAAGGTCCTGATTATTAAGGTGAAAGCTTCGGCTCAAACTTGCTTGTTGCAAAAGCTAGAGAGCCTTTATTTATTCTATTTTTCGTCTATCTCAGTCTTAACCAAAAGATCCCTATTTTTGCTTTCTCAAATCGTCTGTGTTTTTCAGGGAATTGATATTTTTGAGAGAAAGAGAGATTTGCGAGAGGATTTTGAGAGAATTTTTGACATTGTTACTAACGTTTTTTGGCAAAAAATCCAAACTTACAATTTTAACGGCTTTTTTAAAATCTATCCTTATTAAACTTCCCAGCATATTACATATTACAAAATAGGAATAATGGAGCAAAAACCTGATCAAATAAAAAGGTAATTTATTTTAATGCGCAGAAAAAGGTAGTGATTTTTTCGTACAGGGAGTACATCTGTCTATGTTTTAGGCTATCTCGTAAATCTTATACAGGGTTTTCCACCATTTTTCTACATTTTTTGAATTGAATTTTCCATGTCATGGACTTTAATCTTGTACAAGAAAAATTTTCATCCAAATTTTTATAATATTTGAGTTGAATTCTTGTATATCATGTCTATCTTTTCAACACCAGCTATTTATCAGGTTGTTCCATAAGTTCCGTCCGTTTTGTTTTTCAATCGCAATAAATCATGAACTTCTTGTTTCTAAATAGGTTTCAAGGCACCGCTCGATAGAGCAAAGCAAGCTCTACAAGAGGCTATCTCGTTTTTGCACCAGCTCTGGTCCATCTCGAGTTTCAAGGCAAAACTAAAAAGACTCAACTACCCGAAAAGTCGAGAAAAAATCATAACTTCGCTCAGAAAAATCCTACAAAATTATTTACTTGTTCACATAAACACTATCCATCTAAGACTCTTATATACGCCACTCCCGTACTTTTTCCATGGTTAGAAATTAAAAAAACGAAGATTTTCATGCTTTTGTCAGAGTGATGCTGTGATGTCCCTACATAGATAGTTGTATACCTAGCCTGTAGAAGTGCAAATGTAATTTTTCAGCTCCCTACAAGCTTCGGTTCTCGAGAAGTATTGAGTACAGCTTACCTTAGTTGGGCGCCTTACGCTAAAATCCATATTTCTCGAAAACTAGCGTCCTAGAGAGCTTCGCCTCAATTTTCATACTATTTCTACAGGCTAGGAGTATACAGTAGTGTACAACTATCTATGTAGGAACAGTACAGCATCGATTGAGCAAAAACATGAAAATCTTCGTTTTCTTAATTTCTAACCAAGAAAAAAATACGGGAACGGCGTATATAAAATATAATGTATATAAAAGTCTCAGATGGATAGCGTTCATGCGAGCATGCAAGAATTTTTGTAGGTTTTTTTGAACGAATTTATGATTTTTTCTCTAATTTTTGGGCAGTTGAATCTCTTTATTTTCCCCTTAAAACTCGAGATGGATCAGAGTTGGTGCAAAAGCGAGATAGCCTTCTTGTAGAGCCTGCTTTGCTCTATCGAACGGTACCTTGAAACCTATCTAGAAACAAGAAGTTCATGATTTATTGCGATTGAAAGTCAAAACGGACGGAAAGTATGGGACAACCTATTATTTCACCACTTTGTATCGATCTAAGATTGAAATCAAAAATCCATAAATCTGACGACTTTTTTGAAATCTTGTGAGAGTCAAGGCAACTCACGAATATTATAGATTTTCAAGTAATTTTTCCATTTTCTTACTTTTCCATATGTTGCACAAATTATGACTTTTCTATTTACTCTTTCCTAAAACATTTTCCACTGGACATTTTTCTAGTTTTCCAAGAATTTCTTCAAACTGTTTTGATTGATGATCCATTGCAAGCGTCTGGCATGTTCCGTAACTCGAACGGCTTTTCTATGATTGATTACTGGACATATTTTAAGCTTCTGAAACTGGTGAAACTTCTAGAATTTATGCTAGGTTTTAGGTTTCTCTCAGACATTTTCTTATAATGCTCCTTGAAAGGCTACATTTTTTTGCCAATTTTTGATTCACTGATAATTTTTTTCTTTCAAATTCGCTTTTATCAGCGGATTCATCTGAGATTTGATCATTTTCATCTTATTTACCTGCAGCAGTAATGCATCTTGGTTATCACATCAACGCGAATATTCCATTTTCTTTGCAAGACCTACATTTTTTAGCTTTCCTATGCTACTAACCCCTAAGTAACTCCATAGACAAGACATATTGACGGCCATAAAGACTTGCGCTGACGATTTTCTTTGCTGATTGCTGTCTTTTGGGAGTCATTAATGGCATTTACGGAGCATCCACATTGATGCTTGTTTTCTACTTGAGGTTAGGGAGTAAAGAAATAAAGAATTTTTCCATCAGATCCTGTTTTTTACCTTTTTTCTTCGAAATTGCCTCACTTTTCTAAGATTATGATTTGCTTTTCTAGTTGCCCTTATAACCAATCTTCTGTCGTGAAAATTCCACTTTCAGATTTTCAAAATTTCCATTCTCCGCTTCGAAACGAATTTTCTGGAAAAAAAATCCCGGAAATTTATCGATTTTTTCATTTTAGTGCTCAGCTTCGTTTATTTGACCAGATTCAGGCGAGTTGATGGCCACATGTAGCCAACCGGTCACCAACAGATAGAAGGTAAGCTGGAATATTTGCCTGAGCTCTTATTGGCGGGTTTTCTACCGTAATCAGCAAGAAAGAACCAAAATACGGTAAATTGACAGAAGAATCGCGCATGCGCTTTTTAGCCGCTTGTCGCTTGACTTACGTGGTTTCCAGTGGAGAACTCGTGTAATTTTTTCCTTTTTATTGAAAATGGCTATAAATATTGTGAGTCGTATTAAAGGCAAGTTTTTCACCGTAATCAGTAGAAAAATGCTAAAAATTAGGTAAAATGGTAAAATCGTATACTCGCTGTAAAGGAATTTTCGCTTGAGTTGTTTTGTGGTAGAAAAGTCATGCGGATATTTTTCTTTTGGTCTCTATAAATGGACGAGTTTTCCTCTTTAGTGGATGGGGCCGAATGCTGACGCGACAAGTGTTCGTGATAGCGTGGGCGGTGGCGATGTACGCGATATCGCACGCGAATCGCGATGCGAATCGTCTTTTCGAGGATCTACTGGCCGACTACAACAAACTCGTCCGACCGGTCGACAACAATAGCGACACGCTTGTCGTCCGTTTCAAATTGAAACTTAGCCAATTGCTCGATGTGGTGAGATTTGATCTCTTGTTAAAGGATGAGGTTAGAGGGTTGATTTAGCATTGGAGCGCGTTATCCGCGAAAATACGCTCTTTTTTGCTATTTTCTAGCGCAAATTTCACACTTTTTCTGCAGAATTTTCGCATCAATAGTGCTAATGCCCCCACTCAATCGCTTATGATCACTCATATGCGGTTGTGAAGCTGTTCATCGGCGAGTGGCAACGCATTTGACAGCACTCTTCAAATCTGCCAATACGCCTGCCAATTTGTACCCGGCGTGTGGCTGGCGGCGCACGCACGACTTCCGATGATTAGCCAAGCGAAATCGCTTTCGAGACCTAGCGGCTGGAAAGAGGGGGAAAATTTAAGAAAGAAAAGTCTGAGAAAACGTTGTTTTCCTAAAAGAAAAATGTTTTTTCCAGCATGAAAAGAATCAAATCATGACGACGAACGTTTGGCTGCAACATGTGAGTTTGTTTCTTACAATCATACTTTTAGAGAAATTTTCTAAATGAAGAATTTGAAGCTGCAATGTGTGGAAAGTTCAAAAAGTAATAAAGAAAATGCGCTGTTTTATAAATTATTCTCGTTACTGATAATTTTTCTCAAAATTTCTTAGAATTCAATGTTCGAGTCTGCTTGTCAAAGGTATTTGATTTGGTCTTTTTATATTTGGCATGATCGTAATTCTAAAAATTTCCTTTATAAATTTTTACGTCGTTGTGACTGTTTTCAACCAAATTTTTCGAAATTCTTAGAAAATTTGGGACGCATACAAGCGTGTAAAAATTTTTGAAATCTTTGCTGAAAACTTTTCGGAGGGCTTCATGACGTCAATATCCTGTATCTATAAAAAATTATCTTACACATTCCCTTTCCCCCCATTCCCGCAAAGAACACTCATAGGAAAAGCATTGACTTAAGGTTACATTTGCAAGATTTTTTTTCCTAACGTCTTGAAAGCTTTTCGACAGCAGATTGCCTCGTTAGTATCTTTTTATTCTACTTTACACTAATAATTGCTCTGCTTTATCTTCTTATCACTTTCTGTTGATTTTTCTCCTTTCTCTCGATTTTTCTGTATTTTCTTATCTTACAATTATAAAACTCGGATAAGCGCTCTCTCATCAGAAATACTTGAAATTAGCTTTACTAATAACGGTTCAATCGAGAAAACTCAAAGTGTGCAGTCTGCGACTGACATCTGAGCGTTGTTTTGTCGTGCGGGTGGTGCTAGCAGTGCTCAAATTTCATCTCTAGAGAGATTTTTCTGGTTTGACAAGGGGAAAATACTTGGTCGAAGTGGCGTTTCCATACCATATGTATATTGCCTTATAGAGCATGGAACGCTGATTTCAAAACTGCTTTCGATATCTGCAAAGCATTTTTGGGAAGGGAGTTATGGAAGTTTTTCTTTGCAAAATTTTGAAGCGCCAATAAATGCAATAAAATCATTCAGAACCTTAGTCTGTGAGCTCAAATGTGGCCATGATTACTACCAAAGCGTTTTGTGCAATAATTAGCTTCAATCTAATAAAGTCATGTCCGTCACTACTCTTTTTAAACGCCGAAAAGACTTCAACACCCGTTTTTACCTCAACCAAATCAATGAATTTTTACCTCAAAAATTCCCAGAACTTTCCTTCCAGAAGGAAAGTTTGCAGATAAAAAAAGCAGAATTAAAATCAGCGTTCCATGCTTTATAAGATAGTATACATTTCGAAACCGCCACTTCGACCTGGTATCCTTCCCTTGTGAGACCTCAGTTTGATTAAGAAACTGGCATATGAGAAGAAATTCCAAAGTAGCCCTCTACAGTATATTTTTTAATCTTCGATTACTTGAACCTTACTCTTTTCAAAGATGTGCATAGCAGATGTGTTTCATTTATTTTTCTACTTTGGAAAATTCTTATTTTCTTTTTACACTAATCTCTCGTTCTGTGATTTTTTATTAAGTTTTAGAAAAATGCTCATCACCGTAACATGATGTTTTTCTGAAAGATAGAGAAACTTGAAGGCAGTAGCAGGGTCCTGATCATAAATGCAGCAAAATCGAACTTGAACTTTGTCTGTTTCCTTTGTATCCTCTGTTTCTGCAGAATTTCCTGATACACTATGCGAACCAAAAGAAAAGTCAGTCGAAATAAGATCGAAACCTGAGTCAGAAAGAAGTTAAGCAGAAAAAAATGCTGCTGAACAATTTCTTCAATATCATTAGCTCATTCTATAGAGCTCTATCCAATGAGCGCATACCTGGTTCGGGGTCACATATCTCGCAAAAAACCCGTGAAAATAGGTAATTTCAAATTGGTCTTATATAGAAAATCTGTTGTTTTATGTGCCTATCGAATGGTTCGTGTATAAGTACAAATTTTTACAAACGCGGATACTAAATGAACCTTTTGCTAAGCTAAAATAATTTTTACTCAGAACAGCACATTTCTAGACCATCAAAATTTCATGGAAATTTTAGAAAAAATCTTTCGAACTATTTTGATGATTTATACCAGATGCCTATTTGATTGCCAGCTACGCGGCGATTTATGAGCAAAAAATCTAGAAGCGTGGACGTTTACCGTGACGTCACCGCTAAGATGGAAAACTTCGAGTTCCGAAAATAGAAATATTGGGCGCTGATTCCGTATATGTCTTTTGCTTGAAAGTGATTTTTAAGGGAGTCATGAGATTGCGGCGTTTTCAACGCGACATCGTTTTTATTTCTAAAATCTTGAAAGTCTCATCAAAGGTATTATGTAACGCAAAAAATTCTTCTATCATTCAGTTTTAGCTAGCATATTCCTTGAATTCATAGTAAGAATTCGTACAGAGGTAGCTGACTAAATAGTTCACTTCAAAGTATAAAACTTGCAACATATTAAACGATATTGTTCTTATTTTTCATAATATTTTGTACTTTCATAACTATACCTCATTACGGATAATAAAAGCATTGTAAAAGCAATCGACTTTCTTTGTACCTCTCAAGTTTGGTTTTCATTCTATATGAATTTACGCAGAATAAGTATGGATACCCCATTTGGAAGGAGATTTCTCACCTGTAAATATCGAAATTTACTGATTTAGATGCTTGCATTAACTTAAAACAACGAACAATTACATATAAAAATGTGACGAATTGTATTCAGAGTTGGACAGACTACAAATTACGGTGGAATCCCGACGATTACGGTGGTGTTGATGTCCTCTATGTGCCTTCTGATACGATATGGCTGCCGGATATTGTTTTATACAACAAGTAATTATCAATATTTATATTTTATTCTATAGATTTGATTATCTGCATTTTAGCGCCGATGGTAATTACCAAGTGACTATTATGACCAAGGCTAAACTTTCCTATAATGGAACTGTCGAATGGGCTCCTCCAGCTATTTATAAGAGGTTAGCAAGAGATTTTTTTTTATAAATTATTTCTGCTCTTTCATGAAAAATGAATTTATAGCATGTGTCAAATAGATGTCGAGTTCTTTCCTTTCGACCGGCAACAATGCGAGATGAAGTTTGGTTAGTGATTTTAAGCGAAAGCGATATGAGCATGAGAGCTTTTGTCTCCATGACCCTAACCTTAAAAGATTTTTCGCCTTTCCTACAATTTTTGTTTTACTCAACTTTAGAATATTTGTAAAGACCACCGTGGTAAGATTTTGATTAAGAAATTGTGGGAGATGGACCATTTTTCAGAGTTTTTGAATTTCATTTTCTAAGTTCTAGTTTGAAAAGTTTGAAGTTTAGGCTCTTGGACGTATGGTGGCCTCGAGGTAGATTTGATTCATAAGGACGAACATCTCCAAGAAGAGATGATTGAGATTGTTGAAGGAGTCGACGGGCCAATGGAAGAGTCTGTCTGGATAGTCGACGAAGGTAAGTGATTACGACGAAGGTAAAGGACATCGAGAATATGATTGATTCAATCAATCATATTCTCGATGTCCTTTTTTGAATGATTATTGGTCATTTTTGAATTCCTCCTTATTTTGCAGTAAGCTTCTGTGGTGTAAACAATTATCGAGAACTCTTTTCGCCTCACTAGATTTGCCCTCCTACGTTTAGCATTCTATTATTGAGGCTCACATTGCTGTATATATAACTTCTGCAACAGCAAAGAGGAGCTACTGTCATGCCAAAGTTGTTATAATACTTCACCAGCTAACATTTCCGTTTATTTGAATTCGTCAGAGACCGGAAGTGAGAAACATAATGAGATCTTGTCTCTTTCGAACGCTTTATCACAGCAGTTAAACAACAATAAGTTGGACAAATTCATGGAACATGTCGAAGACAAAACAACTCACCTTTTCGGAAGTTGAATAGAAACAACCACTCACTGCTGCGCGCTAAGGATCAAATGAGGAGCACTAAGGTCGGATACGGATATTGCTCCAGATGGCGCGAGTTCATTCGTTATAGTTATGCATCCCTCCTTTCTGTTCATCCTTTTGTTTCTAGTCGAAACCCAGCACATTTGTAAGGTTTTTCGAGTCGCCACATTAGTTCGTGACAGAAGATGTAAGATTCTGCATTTGATGGCGCTTTTTCGGCGCATGCCTAGATTACGCTGTTTCCTGGATTACGAGTAACCAAGTGGCTGCGAGAAAAACCTTGAAAGCGTGCTGATTTCGGTTGGAAATCCGAGGATGAAGAGAATGCATAACCATAACGAACGAACTCGCCATTTTTGAAGCAATGTTGCTTTTGACCTAGTTGATGCCTCAGGGCTCCTCATCCTTCGTTTGCGCTCAGCAGTGAGTGGTGTTCTTTATCCAAATAAAAAGTTGGGCTGTTTCATCTTGGCACTTTTTTCAGTAGAAGAGGATTACATAAGAACATCAAACAAGAAAGCAAGCGAAAAGAGTTTTTTCCCATGCTGTTTTGGGGCTAAGGACTAGACCAATGTTGCGTCCTTCCTTGGCGTCCGGGTTTCAACTCGCTGTGATTTAATCTCCTGTGTTAGAGGGTTGATGATAAGATCTTATATGTTCCTTACTTCCAGGCTTTGGTGAAGGCAAACAAGTCGAACGTTAGCTGAGGATGACTAGATAAGGCAAAAGAAGCCTTAAAATTTGTCAGCCCTTTTGAGCGCTCTATGTAGAACCACCTTATTTTCAGATGTATGAACCGCTCTTTTTCGAATTTTTAAGCGAGCTGCTCCGCTTCACTAGGCTGAAAACTTTTAGGCCGTACGCAGTACGGTATATGGTCCTTTGGTCGCAAAGTTCTTTGGCGTGTTTGGAATGGTCAATTTGAAAATATCCCCGCGGCTTATACACCTGAAAATAGGATAGTCTTCCCTTCTTTGTTCTTTCCTCCTTTTTTGCTCTAATTCCTTGGTAATTCCTGGAATAATTATATTTTGCCACCCGCGTCGCAAAATTAGCCCTTCAAATTAATAGGGCTTGCCACAGTATTAGCTATTTTCTTTCCCCGACATTCGCTTCTTCTAGGTATTGACTTGAGCGACTACTATCCCAGCGTTGAGTGGGATATTCTGAAAGTGCCGGGCAAGCGACACTCTAAACGGTAAGTGCTTTCCATTTTTAAGTTTTAGGGGAGGGGGAGGGGGGGGGGGGAGGGAACACGCAAAGCCAAGAATGATCGAAGATTGGTGAAAGAAAGCTATTTCCTTACCCACATCTGTAATGTAGTTGTTCCAATGTAATTATTTGGATGTTTCGAGAAAAAAGTAATTGCTTTCGAAAGACTCCAGATTACCTAGCAAAAACAGGTTTTCGTTTCCGAATTTCTAAAGTTACCGTGTCCGCTAGAATGCGTCCCACTGCTCCACCCACTTCTGGAGATTTTTTACTCAGAAATTCATTTGAGAAACGCTGACGTATTGCCAGCTGCAAAAAGCTTGAAAATTGATTGGATTTCTTCGGAAGGATTGCATGCTATACGGTAACTCAACATTCCCTAAACGCAATTACACAATATATTGAGGGAAGTAGATATCTCCTAAATTTGTTTCTTATGGAAGAAACCATTTCCGTGATTGAAATTGAAGAAGATGCACAAATTGTTCAGTAGATGAGGGAAATTTTGAAAAGTACAAGGGAGTCTTTTTCAAACCAAGCTTGGACATAAATTTTTTTCACATATCTGCAAAAACTGAAAGCAAAGGGCTTATATAATAAAATTTGTGGAACAATAACTTAGAAAAAAATGCTAAGAAGTCTCTTAAACGCCCGTTCTCTGAGTCAAGGTTTTTTCTGCCAATTAAGAATTACAATCTCTCAGAGATCAATGCTGAATCCTTTTCTATGATCGTTGTCAAATTTTTTTGTTTTGTTTTCGCAGTGATAATTTCTCTTTGAAAAAACCAAACTCAACTATCCGCTTCCTTCGTTAATTTCTTCCGCAGTCGTTCTTTTTTTCTGCCTTCCTTTCTACGATATTAATCCAATATATGCACATCGATCGTCGGGTGTTCGCTTGGAAGACGGCTGACAGGCGAATTCCCTAAGGGGAGCAGCGCAGCGGAATGATTTTTTCGCAACTGTGCAATGAATTCTTTCTTCCCGTCATACGCTGCCTCCTCGAATCGCCTTTTAAACAAGCTGACGAGACAAGCGAACACATCTAACGGATAGGGGCAGAATAGAATGAAAGAATGGTAAGGAGAGGGAACGAATGGTGAAAATTATTCCTTTTGGATTGAAAAGAGCAAATAATTGAACAACATAAACGAAGAATGACTTGTCGTAACCCATTCATATGCCTAAAAATAAGGCTGGGTTTATATATTCCGGAATTCGCGGATCAGTATGAACCCGGCCTAAGCTGCAGTAATCGTTTTATATAAGGTTGAACCGAAAGTTCGTTCACACCATTTTCAAAAAATCATAACTTCTTTCCGTCACGACGATTTTGCGCATTTCAAGTTTTATTAGAAAGAGTAAAGCATGTAGTTTCCATTAGTCCCTTGGCTACTTTCCAGCATGTTCAGATTGCAGAGATAAAAATGAAAGAACGAAAACATCCGAAATTCGGAATTTTTGAGAAACAATTCCAAAAATCTAGACACTGCCCGATAAAATCCAGAAAAGCCATTATCCTAATTTTTCTTATATCTGATTACTAACTGAGTCAAGTTTGTGCTAATCGAGGTCTTCTTTCAGAAGTTATGATTTTTTGGAAAAAATTCCGAAAAATCACTTTCCTAAGAATTCCTGAGAAATTGATTTTTCGGCATTTTTTTTTCAAAAAATCATAATTTTTGAAAGAAGAGCTCGATCAGCACAAACTTTACTCATTTAGTAATCAAATATAAGAACAATTAGGATAATGGCTTTTCTGGATTTTATCGGGCAGTGTCTAGATTTTTGGAATTGTTTCTCAAAAATTCCGAATTTCGGATGTTTTCGTTCTTTCATTTTTATCTCTGCAATCTGAACACGATGGAAAGCCTCCAGGAGACTGTTAGAAACTACATACTTTACGCTTTTTAATAAAATTTAAATTGCGCAAAATCGTCGTGACGGAAAGAAGTTATAATTTTTTGAAAATGGTGCGAACGAACTTTCGGTTCAACCTAATATAATTATGTCCGTTATTGCACACACATTCCATCTTCGGCCGCACAATCCTGAAATTCCCATCAAACCGCAAGGGTCTAACCGATTGTTATGTCTTACATCACTTCGAAGAGAGTTCTACGCAAAAAGAGTTCATCTTGCCTTTATCTATAGTTAGTTTTTTGGGATCAAGCCAGGGTCAAGCCAGCTAGCTTCCACCCGCAGGCTCGTTGACAACAAAAAAAGGGGTCTATCAATCTAGATGAAGCAAAATTCTGCTGTCTAGTCGTCTTTGATTGATTATTCCTTATCTGCTATTTAGCAGATTTTACGGGACTGAGTCTCCTAGTTCGCTCCTACGTGCGCATTTAACTTCCGTTGTGTTTGAGACTAACTGGCATTGTATTATGCTGTTTCTTTTTCTTTTCCTATACCTCACAGTGTAGAAGTAAAGTAAAGTATGTGAAGTAAATTACCGCAAACATTAGTTGAAGAATTGCCTGTTTCAAGTCCAGGATGAGAAGACCAAATATGATGTTGTACATTGACACACATGATCATATGAAATGACTCTACTGTGGGAATTTTGAGCGAGAAATGGTCAGAGCTCAAATCAGCCATATTAAACAAGTTATATGCCATCGGATTTACTTTGAAACGCTGATCTCAAATACACTTTTATTGTCTGCCGAACGAGCGTCTGGAAGAAATTACGAGCGTTCAAATGTGCGCTTTCCTGGCGCTACTCACGCAGTAGTTTCGAAAACATTCATTTGCTGGTGAATGTGCTTCTTCCTTGTAATATAATTCTCATAATGAATTTAACTACGCGCCCTCAGGCTGCCTTGCAAAGCCATGTACGTTGGGACCCGGATAATTTTCATATATAAACGCTTATAACTCCTTCCATATAGTCACTCGGCAGATAGTAAACATATACCCTATTTTCAGGTGTATAAGCCGCATCCTTTTCACTCTAAAGGCGAACAAGCCAAAAGACTGACTGTCATCATGGAGCGCGTTAAGTGAGAGCAGTATGCGATAAGGCGACCGCTTCGCGAGACATATGCGCGGCGGCACGCCTGGGTCTGCTCGCGTTTAGAGCAAAAAGGGTGCGGCTTATACACCTGAAAATAGGGTACTTGAAATCAGTGTTACATGGTGAGCCGATGAGATGTAGCTTGTTTGGAATGGCTGGGTTACGTTTTCCCTATTTCCTCGTGTGTATACTTTTAGGCTAGTAATTCTTTTGCTTTTTTTGAAAAGGGTAGAAATGTAACTCCGGGAAGGGGGGGGGGGGGGGGTAGCATCATTGACGCAGTGATGTCTTGAACAATTACTTTCAACTACTGTGGCTTTGGCCAGTCATCCTTCGCGTGCCCGTGCATTCGACACTGTCACTTTCATTTACTCACGAAGTAAGTAAGAAAGTTAACAGTTGAGAAGAAGATAAAAGCGCGAGACAAACGTTGTTTGTTCCCTGTCAAATGCTCGATATCAAGCGCTAAAAGCGACGCAAGCCACTGGCCCCTACTGTACGGTGAACCTCACTCTACTCTTCCAATGTTTGAAGCTTGCAACCATGCAGCTATGCCATGCTTGATGTTCTAGCTTAACCAGTCGTGAAAATCCTTTCGCAGACTTTCGAGTCTGTGCACTGAGAACGGAAAAACACTATGATTGATAACGGAAGTTCATGAAAGAGAAGATATATGCCACTTTCTGCGTGACAGCTATATGTAGGCTGTACCAGCCAGCATCGGTTATGCGACGTCGCGCCTGCGGCAACTTGCGACGATGCGGTGTGACGCGTTCAAACTGGGTAGGAGAACGAAATCCGCCAGTGGGCCGCCTCCGCGGACTGCTGGTCCTGGAACGACATGCAAAAACACTGCGAAAGGACCAGTTGGCCGCAAAAGGCGGCTCAAACTGGCGGTTTTTGTTCCCCTACCCGTTCAAACTCTGCTACGCGTTAAGGAACGTTGCATGCGACGGTGCATCGTTACAAATCATACTGGTACAGGGCCGATGCTGGCTGATCCTATACACCCTTCGGCTCCGACCGCGAATACAGTAACGGGACAAGTTTTGCGAATAATGCACTCCCGATCCTAATCCTCATGTAGCGAGCCGCAGTAGCGGATGTCGAAACAGAAAAGCAGCATCCAGTGGAGCTTAGGGTAGGAAGAACGCCTGAAAAAAGAAATCAAAATCATTCTTGCATTATCTATTCATGAGCAATAATATAGTATTTTTCTAAATATAAGGAGGATGGAAATCGAGAGCGCCAAGATTGAATATCTGAAAAATTGTATCGCTTTCAGGTATCCTTGTTGCGAAAGCCCCTTCATAGACATTACCTATGAAATCCATCTCCGACGAAAAACGCTCTTCTACACTGTTAACTTGATATTTCCCTCAGTAGGTATAAGGTGAGTTTTCATTTTTTGTTCCAAATGATTTTTCGAATGGGCTGATGGGTTGTGAAGTGCGTTACATTGACTATTTTCAGTTTTCTCACAGCCCTCGTCTTTTACTTGCCATCAGACGGTGGCGAAAAGATATCACTATGTATATCTATCCTCATTTCTCTCACTGTATTCTTTTTGTTGTTGGGTAAGTAATCCCATTTCTCATAATTTGAACAGGAAGTTATGCCAAACTTTTTAGTTGAGATCATTCCATCGACTTCTCTTGTCATACCATTGATAGGCAAATACCTTCTCTTCACCATGGTGCTGGTCACACTCAGCGTCGTTGTCACTGTCGTTACGCTGGTCTGTTTGGTTTTGTACTCGTCTGCGGCGTCCGTCTTGGGCACCCTTTTCTTGTTAAAATGTACCACTTGTTCGTTTCCAGAACGTCCATTATCGATCGCCAACCACGCACAACATGCCAGAGTGCGTACGACACTTTTTCATAGAAGTGCTTCCTAAGTACTTGCTAATGAAGAGGCCCCCACAGCCTGGAAACAAGGTATAATAGACAAAACATAAATGTCGTTATATTGTTATAACAGAAAGGAAGCAGAGTTCCTTTCTGAAATTCGAATTGGTCAAAGATTTGGTTATCAAACCATACAACGTAGTCCTTGATAGCTCTTTCATGTTCATATTTTTCGTATACAAAAATGACTGAAAGGGTTTTGTATTTAGCGATTTCAATCCTGACATTTTTGCAGCAAAAGAAAAACTCCCGAACAACATTTGGCACTCCACAAGGGAACGGTCAATTTGCCAGCACTTTGGCAGACCAAGTAAGTCGTAATCTCTTATTCTTATTATGGCCTTGTTCAGAAACTTGTTCTATTCTTTGACTTTATTGTACTTTGATTAGTGATTTGTTTATATACTCAAATTTGGAATTAGTTTATCGATGACAGTACAACACAGCATCACGATTAGTATGAGGGTAAAAAAGGGGACGCCCGAAAAATAACTGTACATTTTTCGAGAAAGAAAAATGATTGAACTTTTCATTTCTGATAGATATTAGAGCATATTATTCCCTCAAATAGTGCTTATATAAGGTCATTTACATACGTGATAATTTTTATACTTGCTGAGATGCAAAGTTAATCACTTCGACAAACCAAACCAAGCCCAGGCTTGCTGGCCTCAACGCCGCGGTCAGGAAATATGGTTATAAGCATTTTCGAAAACGAAGATATGTGTTATTTGTTGCCTTGCAAGTGAACGCATGTTTTTGGCTATCATCTGATAGAGATCTTTACGCTCTATCCATCCATATGCAGCTTACCTCCATTTTAATCTATATTCGAAAAATATAGATAGGAACGTGATTTTTTGGTTTTTTCGCGCTGAAAATAGCAATTCTTAAAGTTTCATGCTTTTTTATTTGGGAAAAAAAGAGAATCATACATATTCGACAACATTTGAAAGAGCATGAGGAGCTCTTACGAATAGTACGCCAGCTGTCTTACGAGTTTTCGGTATAGCAGAACAAGATTAACGGATGTTCAAAAAAACTTGTTCGAGTTCTTCACGGCGCCACGCGTAAGGTTGCGCGAAAAGAGCTTTAACGAACGAAAAAACATTATTAGAATAATAAGCAAAGGTTGCTTATGTGAGCGACGTTTGAGTTGCAGCCACACTTGCTGTTGATCGAAACAAAAAATTTCATAATGTAACAAAAATCAAGCTGTCTCATTTTTTTCTGCCGTTCACTCTAATACGTAGTTATCCACTAGTTTATTGCAACATATGGAAAGCATTTACCGTTTCTACTCTAATTCACATAAGGCATTTTTGTTATTGATAAACATTGCATTGCCAGATCACTAATTGTTCTCTTCAAAGATAGCTGAGGCACTCTAATTTCTGTTTGAAAAGTTTATTGAGCACAATGGTACTTCCAACCTCTATCATAGTTGCCAAAAGTCTTCAAAACAAAAAACCATTCTTGCAAAGCCACCTTCGGAGAGATAGGTCATTGACATAGAGGGAATAAAAAAGCTAATGATAGGACGAACGCTAGAACATGGACCAGAATGTACAAATGACTCATTGTTACCGTGAATACAGACGTAACTGTGTTTTCTGCGAATAGTGACACACTCGCACATTTAGATATGAGTTTTTCTCAACGTAAGAAGCGCAACTAACATTCGAAATCAAATTCTGAGGTCTAAGGCAAACTTCATCCGATTCCGGTAGCTGCGCGAATTGGCGCTACAATATAGCGCTAGCGCGCTTTGTTTGGGAAGGATTACTGGCAGCAACACTTTCAATATGCGTCATTGCCTGAACAGCACATTAGAGATTTGTAGACATCTGTCATGTTGACAAATCCAGTGCGTATTGCGATATTGCAGTATTGTGGCTCCGTGCCTTGGGGGACAAAAAATACTATCAAGATCGCTATTATTTCAAAAGAGAAATTTATTAGTTGGTTTTAGCATAAGTTGTATAGAAAAACACTTGGAAACACTCGCATGACAACCCTTAAAGAGTAGGGTATGTACAGACCGTCTAACGGTAATAGACCCCCGTGGTACAGCCTAACGACATGCGCGCAAGCTAGTTTATCAATCAAAAATCATAAATTTAAGGTTTTTATTGTTTTTCAATATCTGTTTCTCATTCTCATGTGAGAGTTAGTATAGTGTATGCCCCGGCAAGCTTCCCATAGGTACGCCGCGGCGCGTACGCAGCGCGCTCCCTTCCTGCTGCCTTCCGCTTCGTCAGTAAGTAGTAATGCGCTGCTCAAGCAGGAAATGAGTGGAAGAGAAGGAATGCCAACTTCTTAGCTTACTTTTGAAGAAACCAGTTGCAGGAATAGAGTTTAAATCCCTGATATTTTTCAAAAATTTTATGTGATTCTCGACGGTCGTTTGAAACTTTTACATGCAGTAGTAACTAAAGTTAGTTTGCAGCAAAGTAATATTTGCAACGATCCAAATTGATAAGCTTAGTAAAATCCAAATACTCCAGCTCAAACACAAGTGCATTTGATTAAATGAAGATTGAACGGCAGTCATGGGAGCCTCTTCTAGGGCACATAGAAGCAGCAATCAAAATCAACCAGTAGACACTTATTTTTCTTGTAGAACACAGTCGAACAATGGATCCTCTCAGAAATTATTCGAACACTAACTTTTGGCTGAGAGAAAACATAAGAAAAAGCAACGCTTTCTTCTTCGTTGAAGCTAAGTTCGTTGTATGGATCGGCCACACCTGGAACAGAGAAGTTGTGGAGAAACAGTGATAAACAAGAGAGGAAAATAGTAAACACTCATTCAGAACCCAAAAAGACAGCGCGTCGAGGGCAGCAAAGGCGTACGCTGCCTGCGCGTCGCGTTGGTACCCATAGGAAGCTGGCTGGGGTCCACACTATAGTAAGACTGTTATTGTAGGCATAGAATAGCTGGGAGGACAGCCCGCACTTAGCGGTGTATCTGCACTGCGCGGTCCTATCACCGTTAGACGCATTGTAGTGTGAAATTCTGTTAGATGATGGAGCACGTGCGAGGCAGAAAACATAATGAAATATCAAACGTTCATGTATGTCATTTAGAACCTTGACCTTTTGACACCAACTTTCCGAACGTCATTTGCGACTGGGTCTGCCGAAGAAGCTTCATATTCATCATTCCAAAGGTAGGCTTTCTAAGAAGAGTGCTTAGTTTCAAATACAAGTTTAAAGGGAAGTTTCACCTGTTCGTTCGGCAGTCGAAAGCGTTGCATACATAGCAGATCATTTGAAAAATGAAGAAGATGACAAACAGGTAACTGAAGACTGTTTAATTCAAAACAGTAAAGATGGTTTTCTACAGAATTTCTTGAAGTTCAAACTTTTAGGTGATAGAAGATTGGAAATATATATCAGTGGTGATGGATCGAGTGTTCTTGTTATTGTTCACTTGCGCTTGCGCCCTTGGAACAATTCTGATTATTGCTCGAGCGCCGTCGATCTACGACACAACGCCACCTTTGGCATAGGCTAAGCTTGCTCGCGGTTCGGAATGGCGCAAATTTGAAGAACATCGGCGCATAGTGCCATACTCTGAGTTTTGCCTTTCACAAGTTCTATTCCGCTAGGGTCGTCGTCTACGGGTTTTTCTATTCTCTGCCATTTCCTCGCTGTTTTCTCGGAGTCAGAACCGACCGCACGTAACGCTGAAGCTTTCAGCATCATTGATTTCCATTCTGTCTACCTGCTAAGCCATCAACTCGATACATTTTGTGCCGGTGAATTCTCTCTTTTTTTCAAATTATCAAGCCAGCAAACAATCCTGAACAATAAAATTTACACTGCCACCTACCGTTGCCTTAATATCTACCGTCTTTATCCTCGATCACGCTTTTCTTGTATTTTTGTTGCTCAACATACTCATCTTTCAGTGAACCTAAAATAACGCAAATCCACCAAAAATTATAGATAAATAGGAATCTATTTGCTTTGGACAAGGTATCTATTTTCTATCAATGATTATTTTGTTTCTGATAGGTTTGTAACTAGTTAGGTGTAGATTTATCATATCGTCGTGTGGTCGAAGAATTCCACTCCATCCACCGGCTTTTTTGTTTTATGTTTGTACAAAGTGATTTGTTATAAAAGAGAACTTTAATAAAATCATTTTGAAGCAAATTTTGATGGCATAAGGCTTAATCTCCAGCAGAACATGTTAGTTCAATGTAGATCATATAGACTGTTTTATGTACACAATGGAATCTAGTCTGTTGTAGGATCAGTATGAAGGTCGTGGTCTAAGGCACAATAATCAATTCAGTTTTGACGATGTCGAAAGAGAAGTTGGATCAAAGACTAGGATGAAACCTAGAATTGTCAAATTTCATACTAAACTCGCTCAGAACCAATGAACAAAATAGCAAATAATGGAACCCATCTACCTGCGGATATAATTACATGTGTCCGTGCAGATGTATGGAAGACCCAAGTTTTGCAAAGCAAATGTTATGCATAATGGAATTTGAATGTTTCGCGCAGTCTTTTGCGAACTTTGGATACGCAAAAGCATATGATGTAAACAGGCACTTAATCGTTGGTATGCCGTGTGGCAATTTTCAAATCGTGTTACGGACAGCGTCACACGGTATACCAATGATGATGTGCCTGGTCAGTATGTGTGCTTTTGCGCCTTCCACATGCGGAGGTGGGGTTAACTGGGAACTGTTGAAAATATGAAAAAGTATTGACAAACTATATGAATGAGGACAAAACTGTTAGGTGTACTAGGTCACGAAAACAAGTAATATAGTCAGTGAACCTCCATCAAAATAGAGCACAGGCGTTTAGTCCCTTCCGCAAGTTAGCATGCGCGGGCCATTTTCAGTACTATGCCATCCTTTTGGCTGATAGAGCACACATTGGACACAAAATTATGCGCTTTTTTAGCATCGCTCTGTCAATGAGCGCTGCTAGCGTTCTCTAGCATCCTGGCTGTTGAAGAAAATTGGGTTTTACAACTTGGAAAAAAACTCATACGGTGATTCGACAAGTCATATTGGGAAAACGATAAAGAAAGTTGAAAACAGTAAGAGATTGATTCTTGGGTGCTTCACATCACCGCTCTGCGCATGAATTTGATTAAAGGCAGTGTCTCACCAAAATTTAGTGGGGTCTCCACATATTTCGTTAGAGAACGTTCTGAACAGGCATCGCCCTAAGTCCTACTCGATCCGAGCCCTTCTACCCGAGAAATTTTTCCTCGAATTGGCCCTCAAAGCGCGTTTTGGCCCTCACGGCCGACGCTCCCGGTTTCTTCTTACGGATTTCAACATGTGTCTCCACCTGGCGTCCACCTGCATGGTGTTGCTGCCACTTGGCGAAGGCTAAGCTGAGAAGGCACAACTTGTCCGCGTTGTTTCCACGGGGCTTTTAAGAAAGGGGTCTTCGGCGTTACAAGCGATTTTGGAACCGCAGTGAGTTAGACAGGGAAGAAAAGACTTGCAATGTGCGAAAATCTCCACAAGCAAATTTTAGTAAGAACTGCCTTCAAGCATTTGAAAAGAGTCGACCATTCTCTATGTGCACAACAGGCATGACAGGCGAACACTGACTCATATAATGCCTATTCACATAAACTGCGGAATTTTGGAACCTGTTAAACTTCCTCTATCTTATTGACATCTTTCCTGACATATGGATTCCATAAAGGCGAACAGTATTCGAGATGAGGCAGAACTTAGGCTTTGTACAAACTTTTGTGGATAAACTTGTTTTGAGAGTGTACGGATCGAAAAATGGCATACAAAACATTGTACGCCTCTCTGATGATATCATCCATATGCTGAGAAGATTTTTGGAGATGAGTCTAGTAATACTCCCAGATCTTTGGTCAAACTACATGCAGCCAGCTTAGTTCCATCAATTTCATAACTAGATCCTTTACTTCCTCCGACGTGTGACCAAACTTTTCTCAAGGTTGATAGGAAGATCTCACTCAGCTGACCAATGTAGCAATTTTCCCAAGGACGTCTTTAGCGCATTGCGAATGTAGGAAGGAGCCGTAAATGCCATAAATTTCTTGTACATTAACTGAGGGTGATGTTTTCAGTAAAGAGGGTAGATCCATGGTATATGTTAAGAAAGTGATGGTGAAAGTGCCCCCTTTCCTGGGGAATTCCACTTTTACACGCTTTCCGGAGAACTTAAAACCTACATTCACAGACATATGTCTGCCACTCAAATATGATTCCAGCCACCGGAGTAAAGTTCCAGAAAATCTTAGTATTTTAAGCTTTAATAGTTTTTTTTATAACAAGCTTTATCAAAGGCTTTGCACTTATCTACAGAGATAACATCCACATACTGATTATTGTTAAGCGCCATCGTTCAATCAAAATGCTTTCCGCTATATTGGTTGCAGTCCTTCCCCCTTTCAAAAAGCCCTGTTGCATCTTGGGAATAGCATCGGACTTTAACGGCCGCTGTAAACTTGTCCCGAAGAGCTTTCTTCATAACCTTGATTGACGAAGAAGTCATGCTTATCGAATAGAATTCTGATACTCGTTGTGCAGAAGAAACCCCCGAAGTAGGTATGGCCAGAAAGTATTCCCACGACTGAAAAGCTCTTTTAGTTAGCATAGAAATGTTAGGAATGTGAGCCAGAGGTTTGCAAAGCGCCTCGCACATTCTATATAAACAGTTTGAGGTAAATCGTCAAAAGCTTCAGTCAATGAAGGCTTCAGAATCTTTGAATTCTCAAAGTTGACAACGATAATTTGAAATTGATTTTACCAACTCATCAATATACATGGTCTCTGCTCGATTGAAAAACTGAATCGAAGTCCAAGCTCGATTATCGACGAATTTTGGCATGTAGTTACTTGTATAGGGGCTGCAGGATCGCGAGAGTCGGACGTGCGTACGGCCACTGTGCCGCGCACGTCCGATGTCACTAAGGCAGGTGCCAGACTTATCCGCTGCAGCCGGTTCGTTCGGTTCATAGGTCAAATCACTACACTGTCCACAGGCAAAGAAGATTAGGGGAACAAGAGTTTTTACTCAGAGTAAAACCGATCATGTAAACGGAGTTAACGAAGTGTGTTATACTTTTAATGCTTGATGCGATGGGTGACGACGAGAGAATTATCAAGAATTTTGAACTTAAAGGTAGGAGATTTGACTAATTGTGCCTAGGTTTGAAGGTTCACAAATTTCTCAAATGTTTCATTGAGTGGTTTCACACGGCATGCAGAGTAGAATAGACAGTGATTACTGTGTCTAATTTATAATTTCTCAGTCAGATTTTGTTTAGACCAAACACAGCAAAAAATGAAATGTACTGTATTTGAGTTTGCAGAGATCAGTCAATAGACAAGCCAGTTCATAACCATAAGTAACTAATTTCTGACAGGACGGTAAACCAGTATAAAGCTTATTTTTGAAAGAAGTTTTTGTGTGATTAAATCTGCACATGAAACACTCTTTTGTTGTTCTGCATCTTATATATAAAGCTGAATGTCTGTTTGTCTGTATGTCTGTCTGTATGTCTGTCTGTCTGTACGTACCCTCGATATCATCCCATATGTCTTCCCTCAACATGACGTGGATTACGTGGCTTGATGAGGCGCCGCCTCGCCTCGGGCTCGCGCCACGTTGCGAGCGCATCATTTGGTGCGACGTGGCGCTCAACACCACGTGGCGCAGGCTTTTCCACGTTCTTCTTGTTGCCACATCACGCCGAAAATGCGCACGCAACGTGGCGCAAGCCCGAGGCGAGGCGGCGCCTCATCAAGCCACGTAATCCACGTCATGTTGAGGGAAGACATATGGGATGATATCGAGGGTATGTTCCGAATAGAAAATTCCATTTCTGAACCGATCCGGACCAAACTTGGCACACATACACTTCGGGCCCCGGCGGGTGTCACAGGCTACTTTTCGTATCGATCGATATCGATTTTATCGATTTTTTGCAAAATTTGAGCTACGGGGCTGGGAGTTGGCACAGGGGGGTAAGTGAGCATGGGGATTCCGAATACAATATTAGTTTTTGAAATCGTGCATTACTTTTATCGATTTTATCGATTTTTTTGCAAAATTTGAGCTACAGGGCTGGGAGTTGGCACAGGGGGGTAATCGAGCATGCTGATCACCCCCGTGGGGGTGATCAGCATGCTCGATTACCCCCCTGTGCCAAATACCAGCCCCCTAGCTCAAATTTTGCAAAAAATCGATAAAGTTGACATCGATCGATAACGAAAAGTGGACTGTGACACCTACCGGGGCCCGAAGTGTAAGTGTGCCAAGTTTGGTCCGGATCGGTTAAGAAATGGAATTTTCTATTCGGAGCATACGGCGGAGCCGGGTAAGCCAGCTAGTACTTCTATATTCTGAATCAAACGTGAAGCATGAGCCAACAGACATACTCCCCCTACATTAAACTTGAAAAGAGCTCATATCACTCTACGACACTCCGATGAGCCTGCTACAGATGATTGAGTCAACACTTTCAACACTTTCATTGATCTTACGAGGGAAGGATACCAGGTCGCAGTGGCGAACCGAAATGATCTGCATATCGTTAGATGCACCTTGATAAGTTGATTCCAAATCTACCTTTTCTTTCTCTCAGAGCTTCTCTAGAAGAAGCTACGGGCGGTTAAAAGTATGAAGTTAATGAGGTTTTGATGCGTAATCTGCTTTGAAAACCAGCTTGGGAGTGATTGAAGGGTGCATTGACTACAATGAATACATACATATAGCAAGCACATGAATAAGTGTTATTGAACAAGTAGTTTTTGTTGTAGCACTAAATGTGATGTCAGGTTTGGGCATTTGAACGCTCATAACTTTTTTTGAAGAACGGCCTAGCATATGGAAGTAAGATTTGTAATCAGCTCATCAAGACGCATCTAATGATATGCAAAACATTTCAGTTCGCCACTGCGATCCTATCCTTCCCTTGTTAGGATAAATTACAATGTTTGACAGGTTGAAGTCATCTCCAAGTGCTATCTATTTAGGCTTTCCTGAAATTCTATATGCAGTGCTGGACATAATTATAAAGACACTTTAGTAATCGTCGTAAGTTGCGTTCTTGTTTATGAAACTGTCTGGAACCTTCCTAAATAGT